TCTTCTTCTGGCTATTAAAAAATTAACACAAAACGTTGACGTGATTTAATCGTAACCATTGAAATAAGAGAGGAGGGAAGAGGATGGAGATTAGGAAGGGAGAGAATCCTACTCCCATTAATTTAAGTCCTTTTTTGCATGTTTGGTTGCTAGAAAAGAGTACAAAGACTACATCATCTCATGTACCTCATTTTATATATGAAATCAGGAATGGTTTTGCTAGACAAGAGTGCAAGGCTCTCTAACGTTTTTGCATTATCCTAAACGCTTCTGTATTCTATATTTGAATCCAATCACATATATACAGTTTGCGTATAATGTTACTGTTTTGTTTCCTATAGCTCGAGAGCATCACAATTCGACTTTCACGACTGTACATGTACATTTTTTATTTATATCGCACAAGGATCATAAGACCAACTATGCAAATTGATATAATATCTAAATGCTCTAAATTTATCTAGCTATAATTCACATGATTTATATATGTATTAAGTGCGTGTAAGGATGAGAAGTAAACAATTTTCATAAAAATAAAAATGAAAAAGCAAATCTTTCCAACTAAAAAAGGAAAACAAAATTTAATTAAACTAAGTTCTCATTTGGATGTGCTTTTAAAATGACTGAAATCGCTTTTAAAGAAAATGTTTTTGGATTTCAAAAGCACTTAAAGTGCTTTATGTAAGAAGCACTAGTTATGTGCTTCTTCAAGGAAGCACTTTAAGTGCTTTTCCAAGATTTACTTGCATATTTACAAAAAATTGGTTCTAAAAATATTTTTACCAAAAGAACTTTCAGTTATTTTAAAATTACATCCAAACGAGTCATAACCTATCAAATATTGGGTATGAACCATAAAGGTGCATTATGCAACCAGGACCAAGAATGAATATTGGGGCAACTAAAATGCTTAATACTCTTATTTGTGAAGTAAAATACTCCAAAGTCACATCATGTTGAACCGTAACACGAGTAATCAAAGGTAAAATAAATATTGTTTCTTTCTACCTTCTGACCATGGGGGTACGATATACGGCGGAATGGTGGTTGCTCACAAATAATACCCGATCACCAAGTTCAACAACCTCCATCCATTGTGGACCACCATCAAAATTGCATTCCAGTTTGAACACTCGAAATCCTTTAGTCTTTGGGTGGCTCAGTGTAACTAAAGGCCTTTCCAAGCATGCCCTTATGCCAAGGATCGGCTATTAAACACGTTTCTTGTTTAGGCTTGTATGCAGAGTCTGCCTTATGAAAAATCATAAATAACTCCATAGATGCAGATTCTTTTGATAGGTGAACGAAATCAAAGCCATTGTAATGCTCTACTCTTGATCCATCATATTCAACGAATTTGTACCAATTGGACGTCTCCACCTGCAGCAGCCACAGACCAGGTCAATGACGTCATAGTCTGAGGAGATAAGCTGCCTACATTGTACCAAAATCGGAGGAGATAAGCTGATCTTGTCCAATCTTAGTCTTAGCTAGGGGGTGCCTACTCCTACCCCGACTCTGATCCTAAGAGACCATCTCCAATTTTTGATCTAAAATTTAAAATTTTTAACCAAGAAAATTTAGGTTTTAACCCATAAACAATTTTTCTACTCCCACCATTTAGGGCTAAAATTTTAGCCCCATATTATTAAAAAAATGAATTTAGATTAATTTTTTACTTAAAGTAACTTTTTTTAAAATAAAAAATTATATAGACTATCCTAATTTAATTTTATGAACATTTTAATCTAAAAATATTTAGATTCTGATAAATACTGAAAAATCACTAACCGACAAAACGAAACTCGTTAAACACTATGAAAAAATATGAAACAAATGAAAGATTTTTTTTTTAATTATTTTAGCGGTTAGATTTAAATTTGGACAGTTAAATTTTTTTTTTTTTACCATTGAATTTTATTAAATTATATCTTAACCGTTGGATTCAATGAATTTATAAATATAAAATTAAATAAAATATACATATATGGTGGGCCAAGCCCATTAATCTTGGGCTAAATTTGGCTTCCATTTGAGTTTTAGGTTTTAGATCATATTTTAGCCTTGGATTGGGTTGAGTTTTTGTGGGGAATAGAAGTGGAAATTTGAGTTTTAGCCCAGGATTTGAGAAGGTTTAAACAACAAAAACAAAGCGTCAAAAAAGGGTTTAGGACAAGTCTAGTGTCTAAGCAGCTGGTGATCCGCCATCAGCAATTGTAGTACAGGCGTCACATTTGCGGAGTCCAAGTTTTAGGAAGGGGATCTTTGGATCACTTCCACTAAATCCTCTAAATCAATAAATATGGGTCCTTGAAATTTGATCTAACAGCTAAAAACATAATGCCCAATTAAAAATTATAATAACTTTAGCCGTTAGATCAAATTTCAAAGATCCGGATTCTTTGATTTGGTGGAAGAGATCCGCAGAATGTCCCTTTCCCAAGTTTTACACCCATTGGCAGGGTCACTAGGACCCACCTCCTCTTCACTCCTCAATTGGAAATCTGGAATTCAATTCAACCTTGTTCAAGTAGATATAGTATTATTGTTTCCTTAAAAACATTGTTAAATTCCATCTCCTATTACGATTTTTTGTTGAGGCTTGTATGCATTGTCTGCCTCATGAAAAATCATAAACAACTCCATTAGATGCAGAATCTTTTGCTAGGTGAACAAAATCACGACCAATTTAATGTTCAGTCTCTTTCCACCTAATCCACGTAGTTCGGAATCCAGACCATTAAAATTTGATCTAACGGTTAAAAACATGATACTCATTTAAAAGTTATAATAACTTTAACCGTTAGATCCAATTTCAAGGACACGAATTCATTGATTTGATGGAAAGGATTCGAAGAGAATCCCTTTCCCAAGTTTTACACCCATTGGCAGGGTCACTGGGACCCGCCTCCTCCTCCCACATCTTCTTCACTCCTCAATTGGAAATCTGGAATTCAATTCAACCTTGTTCAAGTAGATATGGTATTATTGTCTTCTTAAAAACATTGTTAAATTCCATCTCTTATTACGATTTTGACTGTTCTCTTGTAATGATTTTATCCATTATAACACATGTGCTAACTTGGAGAGACTTTTGAAAATATAACGAGAATAATATCCAAAAAACCATTTCCCACCTTCGGGCTGAGTTGGGGGTGGTTCCATCCTGAGTATCCAAAAAACCAGTAATACCTTTGCACTTCTTCTATAATCAACTTAAAGCAAGACCACCCATGAACCTCGAACCTACTTCATTAGGCTTAATCCAAAGATATTAGTATTATTTCCCCTAACTTAGGTACAACGGTGCATGTAGTGTTACGGCACAAGACCTCCGATTTTCTAAAACCCTCAAGTTTTTAGTCTAATAGAGACGATTTGTAAATCTAAATCCGATCACGTATGTACAATCTGTGAATAGTGTAACCATTTTTGTTCATGTAGCTTGGGAGCATCAAAATTTTGACTTTAATACACAACTGTACATGTACACTTTTTTATTTATGTCGCACAAGGATTATAAGACCGACCATGCAAATTGATGAATACTCCACATTCATCTAACTTATGAAAAGAGAGATTTGAACTCGAACGCAAGTGACATATCCCAAACCTACGACATGCTTGGGGATTCAAACCTACGCATATATATTTTCAAAGATTTAATTCACAAAACTGTAAATTCAGAAAGTGCAAAAGAACAATATAAAGAGCAAAAGTTAATTAATTGGTGCTATGTTCAATTAATATAGCGGATGCAATCTGCGATTATATTAATTAAAGCCCAAATAATGAGGAGTAAATATTAAACGACATTGTTGTTGTAACTATTCGAGATTTATTTGTTTAATATATAGTTCTATTATATTTAATTAAAGTGCTTTGTTAAGTTATGTTTTTTTCATAAATCAATGAAACATTATAATTAAATTTTGTTTCTCAAATAAAAAGGGGTGCATCTTAAAAATCTAATAAGATAACCTCATAATTATATGTACCTAAACCAATTTGTGGTGCTAGGTTCGTCTTCACTAAGATTCGAGGTGCCATGTCCGTCATCACTGAAAAGATTTATTCTTCTTGTCACTTTCCTTCATTCGTGCCTTCAAAAAGCTTTTGTGTTCGGTGATGCTTTGTCGTCAACCTTCATGAACATAGCTTTTCGATCTCTTTTATCAAGCACAAGTTCCTTGCATACTCAACTTGACTTCTATAAAATGCACCACTCTCTTTGTCAGTCTCACGTCTTTGCGTCGTCTCTTTTGGAACAACGTTGGAAGCACGCTTAATAATTCAGTATTTTACAAATTTTCACAACTTTCCAACATTTGTGATTGTTGAACCTTGTGATGAATTTGGGCAAAATTAGGTACCAACTGTTTGCTTGCATAACTAAAACAAATAAAGTGGGAAATAATTAATTATCTCAAAAAATAAAAAATAAAAAAAGGGTACGTGCTAATAAAAAAATTAGAAAATTGTTACCTCATCCCCAATATTTGTGTCACCTTGATAATTTTTCACCGCTTTTGTCTGAGCATCTCTATATTTGCCTAATGCAAAACTTAAATTTTTTATCATACTGTAAGTGCGCTTTTCCTACGACTAGTTCCATACCGACTGCTATAATTTTCATGAAATTTCTTCCACACAAGAAAACATTTTTCAGCGATTAACCATGCAGTTTTTGGGATGGTGACAACTTACAAGGCCGAGCCCTTTCTTCTCCTTTTTCCAACCCGAAGTACATTGATGTGAATAAAGCAGCAGAAAATAAAAACAACAAAATAGTACGTATTGAGAAGTCCTGGTTGATCGATCAATAACGTGATTTCGTTGCACACATGCATGTACTGCGTTGATATGCCCTACCAAATCCTTAGTCCCTCGTCGTATATGTTACACAGACACCACCAACTTTGTGGTAACTTTAAATGAGTGTCATTACACCCCATTACTCTCACCCACCAACCTCCTCTCATACTTTAATTCCTTGAGACCCTCATCTTTTCCCAATTCATTATGCATCTTCACGCATCACTCTCTCCCCCTTCTCAATTCCCCGTAACTCTCGTCCCTGCAAGGATATACTTCCTTCCGAAACACAAGAGGCTTTAGCATCATTTTCCGACTATGAAAAGGTATTGTATCCCATATTTGAAATGTTGTAATTGCTTATGTTGATCCTAGACTTTATAATTTGTAATTTTGTTTTAAGATTGATGTATAAGATTTGCTAGTGTGATAAGAGACTTAAAGTTGGTGAAAAAAAAAAAAGGCAGAGCACAAAAATAATGAATGAAGGATTAATGGTATGCGGACTCTTTCAGGATCCTTTTTGATATGTCGACGACAGTGGTCAGGAAGGGGAGCAATTGCTGAACCAGTGAGTTAACCGGAAATCAGATTCACCACAGCAATGGTTTGCTTCCATATCTTTGAATGCGTATTAATTGTGCTGTTTATTTTAATTATTCCAGCTATTGCAGCCATAACATCCTACATATATCACCTTCGTATCATGATTCCATTTGTGATTTTGGATTTAATTATAGTGGGGATCATCCATCAATATAGGGCAAAAATCACCCGAAGGTAATCGAGTTCTTAGCAATCAAATACTTCAAGAGAATTAATAGAGGTATTTTTATGGGCTTTAAGACTCTACTTACAAAATATCATTGACCCCGAATGCATAATTTGCGTCTTCACCCTACTGAACTATTCGTATTACCTGATTTCCTTTGTTCTGTTTCTGAGACATACTAAAGTTCTAATTTTTCTGGAATTTGCATTAGAAATAAATGTCGTTATTTTAGTACATTTTTAGAAAATTGATTGATAGTGGCAAAAAACTTAAAAGGTTATGAATATGGATTATTTGGTCCATCAATTAATACGCATTGAAAGATATGGAAGCAAACCATCGCTGTGGTGAATCTGATTTCCAGTTAACTCACCGGTTCAGCAATTGCTCCCCTTCCTGACCACTGTTGTCGACACATCAGAAAGGATCCTGAAAGAGTCTGCATACCATTAATCCTTCGTTCGTTATTTTTGTGCTCTGCTTTTTTTTTTTTTCACCAACTTTAAATCTCTTGTCACACTAGCAAATCTTATACATAAAGAATCTCACTTTTAAAAAATTTATAGTTGACTTAAAGCTTAAAATTTATAGTTGTAGTGGCATAGAATACATAAAGAATCTCACTTTCAAAAAATTCTTCTTAGCATTTCTCACTTTTTAGTCTTCGAATAAGGTCTAAGGTGACCGTGGTGTGCAAATTACTAAGACTCCGAGACAGCGACAATTGGGATGAAGATCATAGATGCTCAAGTATATATGTCGACAACTTGGCATTGTAAGTCTTTATAAATTCCAATTTGTATTACTGATAAACTATATATACCAAATGTGATTGGGAATTAAATTAAATATAAACTACATGGGGATAGAGAAAGTGATTTAGAGGGAGAGCCAAAATATACTTGGGAGACAATAAAAAACTGCACAAATTTGTGACAAGTTGACGAGTAAATGACTCTTTGTTTTGCATTTTTTCCCTTGGTAAGCTATGTCTAAAACTTTATTCATTTTATTGTTGAATTGAAGAACAAAGATTATTGTCTTCCGTCAAGCAGCTTTTTCTTAATACTGATTGCCAACCAGTTTGTAATAATAATTGGATAGTTTAATTTCTCTTAGTTCAATTTTAGACGTTCTCCATAGTAAGTGTGCACACTATTTTTCTAGCTATAAATTTGTATATGATTTGCTATGTATTTTTTTTTTATATGAAAAAGCCTTTTCTGAATGCAATATGAATTACATGGTATGTGGACAAAATTCTATGTAGGCGTAAAAGACTTTTGGCTTGCGATACTGCATAAGTATTGCTTGGCTGAGGAACTTGAAGATTCAAGACCTTTTTTCGGTTTTCTTTTCCGTTTTGTTGGTGTTTGGAATGATTCATTTTTATTATTTTTCTTCTAAATGCCTAACAATCGGTAATCTAATTGTATCATTGCTTTATGTTAATTCAAGATTTTAGAATAATTAAGGTGGTCATCTCTAATGTTTTTATTTCATTGTCAATATCAATTAAAATATTGTGTACAAATGTTTAAAATGCAATGCAATATCTATGACAAGTGATTTGGTCATACATAAATGAGTGTAGTGGAGCAGGATTTAAGCTTGGCTGCTTAAATAGTATTTGTCCAAGTTGAATGAAATTTGCATTCTATTGAGAATAATAACACATATACAATGGTGTCAATTCCATGCTTGCAGTAAAGACAATACAAGAAAAATCAAAGCAATCCCATAAGAAAAAAACTGTGAAGAAAGCTACAAATGATGCATTTTCCTTTGGATATGACTTTTTTTTTTCTTCTTATTTTTTGTCAATGTATGTGCATTTTAATACTACATACTATAATGCAATTACACCTCAACTCATATTCTCATTCAAAAACTCTGTTTGCAGTTATGGAAACAAGCATTAGTGTTGTGGCGCTATTGAATTGACAAAGCAATTTGCAGGTGGAATGGGAAAGTGTAACATGTATGTCAAGAAAAAATAGTATATATTATACTATGAAGCCACAAACTTATCAACTCATTTTTAGCAAATTTTAATAAGATAAATGGCAAGGAAAAGATGATACATATGAAATATCTTGGTTCCTTGCTATATTTCTTCCTTTATTCATTACTAACCTTTTCTAACGTGCTTTCGTACGTGCAAAAGAGTCTTTTTCTTTTCTCATGCATTTTACATGCGAGTTAATTATGTTTTATTTCCTATTATTTTCAATGTATGATATATTTTATTTTAAGACGCAATATAAGAAAAAAAATGGCTAGCACAATGCATCTAAATGGCACGTAGCACCTGTGATAAAAAATATCTCTCACATAAAAAGGTAGGAACATACAAAATACTACCTTTTTATAGTACGAGCACCTTTGTATAGGTGTCAACTCTTCCGTTGGCAGGTCTACTTACTGTTTTTTATAGTAGTCTGGGCGAGTACTTAATGTTTTCATCTACTTTTGTTTTATTTACATCTACTTATTATTGTTTATGGACTTTAGGTAGGAACTTGCATCCAAAATCCCATGTTGTTTGACAATTGCATAAATAACATTTAAATAATTACTTTACACAAAGTGAAAATGAAAAACATGACAAATTTTTAGGACGTACACAGTAAAGAAAAAGTTCATCTTTGCACAATACATTTAAAATAAATCTTCACAATTACAATGAAAAAAAAACTAATGCAAAATCTTCACAATTACATTTAACATTTCTTACTATTTAATTTTGTAAACATGATAATATCCTAAAAAGTTGTCATGTTTTTCGTTTTCACTTTGCGTAACATTTAAATCATTACTTTACGCAAAGTAAAAACGAAAAACTTAACGACTTTTTAGGATGTGCATGGTAACAAAAAAGTTCATCTTTGCACAATACATTTAAAATATATTATGACAATTACAATGAAAAAAACTAACGCAAAACAACTTTAGGGACGCGTAGCGCTTGTGATCCAAAAATACCTCTTGCACGCACATTAATAGGTGCGGAGAGGCTAGTAAATAATAATTAGAATTGTTATTGTTATTGTTATTTTCATATGAAATTCTGTTTCAAACTTTCTTATATTTTATTTTTAATGGTAGTGAAATTATTAAAATATTTTTAAGATGCCAAGTAAGCTTTTCAAATAGATTCCAATTTTCTTTTTTACATTTTCACTTTTATTTTACTAATTAAGAATAATACTTATTTTTACGGTCGCAAACGGAATTCAAATCAAAATTTTAACGGACACGTTATACTTAAAGTTGTGAAAAATTTAACTCGTAACCGATGGGACTAAGAGAGGACCTTATGCAGTGTGCGCCACGGCCCTGTCTTGTCTGTCTGATGGCCTTCTTGCAGACCAAAGACATCAATCATTTCTTTTTTATTATTTTAATTACACTCTTTTCTCTCCTACTACCTCTCTCTATCTCATTACACCCATCCATCAATTTAAAGACATCAATCATGTCTTTTCCATTATTTTAAATAGACTCTTTTAATATAATCAGAACATATTACGATACGTCACATATTATTAATATATAATAAAATATATACTTTAAAAAATTAATAATTTATAAAATATAATTTTTTATTACTTATATAACAACCTGCGATAAATAACCATGTTCAAATAAAAATATTTCTCCATCAATTCCATCAAACATCAACCTTAACATCCCACCAACATCTTTCTCTCATCTCTTAAATTTCTCCATCAATCCCAACAAACGTCAACCTTAACATCCCACGAACTTCTCTCTCTCACCTCTCAACCTCTCTTCCGTAGCTCTCTCAATCTTTCACTCTCTTCTTCTCGGCCAAACACAACAAAACACTACCGCCACATCAAAACTCCACCAGGAGCCAGCAAACGCTCTCATAACTACCTGCGACTCTCTGCAACTTTTTGGCCTGTCACACTCGGAGGAAAACGAAAATTTCGTTCTTAATATTATCGAAATCCGAGCAACTGAATCGTCTCCGTAAGGCTTCATTTCTCACTCTCGAAGTCCCCCTCGAGTTTTCTGTGAATATTCTTAGCATGCATGCTTGTTTCTATGAACACAGATGAATCCTAACCCACCGTGTTTTCGGCGAGTTGTAGAAATTTTTCAAGCTAAACCCGCTCAAACTTTGTTGAGTTGATCGAGTTTTAAGGTGTAAGATGACTTCCCACAACCCCTAGACTACAGAATTGAGCTTGCATGTTCGAATATCCCTCTGTCTAGAAAGTCCGAATTTGGCATTGGCTTATAGGCCATTTTCCGAGCACCTTCGGCCAACCTTTGGTCACCAAAGAGGTATAAAAATGTTCTTTTCTTCCTAAGCTTCGTGTTGATACTTCTTATGCATAAAATGGTTGAAAAATGACTATTGTGCTAATTTGGAAATTTCCAGCGGAAATTCTGTTCTTGAGCAAACTAAAGGAAATTAGGTTTATTACATTAATTATTATTAGTTTAATAATTAGTGTAGTAATTTTCTGTATTGGAGAGGACAGACCGGAGGAGTAACGCAGGTAGAATGGTTGGGCTGTTATGATTTACATGTACTTGTGAGTGGGCTTTTCGTTTTTACGTGTGTGATTTTTTCTTGACTACTGGTTTTATATACCATGAGCAAACTATTGTCATTAGTTTAATAATTAGTGTAGTAATTTTCTGTATTGGAAAGGACAGCCCGGAGGAGTAACGCAGATGGAATAGTTGGGCTGTTGTTATTTACATGTATTTGGGAGTGGGTTTTTTCGTTTTTACGTGTATATATATTTATATATATATATATGTGTGATTTTTTCTCGACAATTGTTTTTATATACTATGATGTTAAATGTCATGTTTATTCTTATAAATAGACTTTTTGTACACTTTATGTTTATAATATAATTTGTGAGCATGAACTTATGGCGTCAAATTTTTGCGTTTTATTTGCTCATTATTACATATTTGCACAGTCTTTGTTATTTGCATTATCGTGGACCAATGACTGCCTTCACATGTAGTTCACATGCACCGTTACATTTGCTTTAGATACAATATTAGATGCCAGCTGGTCCTTTTGTGTGATGTTTTGGACTCATACGTGATGCGACTAGCGCAACTCAGGTGATGTATTAGCAGAATGCAAAACCTACACTCAGCCTGTTTCATTGTCTGAATATCTCTACAATGGACTTGTGTCTACATAAATTAATGAACATTGATTTCTTGTGATAACGAATTAAGATCTGGTGTTGATATACCTTGTTGTAGGGTTCTACATCGATTGACTCACTTGTGTTGCAAAATAACTATTACATATTATTATTATAATATTTTTGAGAAAGTATATACTTGTTTTACAATGGGGTTACACATTTTCGAAAATGGTCAACAAAACTTTATTTTTCAGGCCTACTCACATTTGTTTTTCTCATTTCCAGAATTTTAGTGGCAAAGAGTTTCATGACGACGAGGATTGCTGGTAAAACCTGTTCTGTGGGAGACTTCTCCTTTCGGTATAAATATTCTTACTATTATTTTACAGCAATTTACTAATGCTCTGAACATCACTTATGCGAATGGGCTGATCGCCCTTACATGCGGACTCTAGAATTAGTTACTTTAGGTTTAAATTAGTAGTACTTCCCACATCATCATCACTTAATGGCTTGGTCGGCCAACATAACTCGATCCGCATGTCTAAGTGGATATTTCGGGTCAGGATGTGTCACCACAAATCTTGTTTTGTATTTTAAACTTTCTATAGTTAAAAATAAAAATATACTTGTGGAGTGTAAAATGAGATTATTGAAGAGTTATTAACAGTTCTTATAACAATTATTCAAAACACAAACACATATAGTTATTATTCAATTCAAATTATAACACAAGATTCTATAATTTGGTTATGTATATGCATTTAATTAGTTATTTTGAAGAAAAAAACAAACCATTTACTCTTATGTTTAATTTCATATAATCGAGGGGAATCAATGCCCTATTCTCCTCCTCGCGACATATCGCAAAATTTGAAGGAAAAAAAAAATCTAGTTCATCGGGAGAATAAAGGTATCTTCCAATTAGTGGACGATGTCACACCATAAAAATACCTTCCAATAAATTGTAATACATATTCCCAATGTATCTGCTATACTGTTGAGGTCGTTACTCCGGATGGGTGTGAAACGAGTTGGTTAAACTCTAGGCTAGACGTAGGCTAGGCTCTTGACAAACGAGAATTAACTTTTCATTTTTAATTATGCTTTGACCCCCCAAAAAGGGAAGATAACAAGTAAATTAACATTTTCAATGTGTAATAGGTTCGATGTTGAACCTAGACACTTTAATGAGCAATACTGGTTATATTATCAACTTGAAAACTGAAAACTATATGGAAAATATGATCAAGTAATTGATATATTGAATAACAATTTGTGTTCCAAAAAATAAAAAGATTGAGCCCAGATATATGAGTTTTGATTATGGGTGGTCTAAGGATAGACCTTGTTTCATTGATCTTAATTAAAAGAAATTTCCATGGAACATGTAATTTGTTATTAATACACGCTACTCACTAGTTCTTAATATGCTGATATACTGAGGTGGATGTAAGCTCTGGTCACAAGAAAGAAGATGAATGGAAGTGAGATGGCCTTCATCTGCAAACCATTATTATTACTTTCTTTGTTGATCGAGTCTGATTTTTTTCCTAGAAAGCAATTGAGCAAGCGAATTTAAAAAATACCATGGAGTTAGGTATGTTACCAGAGAGGAAGAGATAACAAAAAGTTGAATTGAATGTGCATCTCTATTGGGGATTTATATACTGTGCAACTTTTTTGTGCCATAGAAAATGAAGGGCTTATTTCTAGATTGGTGACAACTAACCAAGGTCGAGCTCTTCCTTTTCTCGTTCCAACACGAAACACATTGTTGTGAATAAAGCAGTAGAAAAAGAAAACAACATAATAATACGTATTGAGAAGTCCTGATTGGAAGATCAGTATTGTGATTTTGCTGCATGCATGCACGTACTACATTGTTATGCCCTACCAACCTTACCAACTTTTAATGAGGATCATTACAACTCATTACTCTCATCCACCAACCTTACCTCTTATGCTCTAATTTCAAAACTTACATAGTTTTTTTTTGTTTAACTAGGATATCCGCACCACTCATCCCAAATTATGCGATCACCCAACACAATTTAATGGATATTCATAGGTCATTACAAGGTTAATTTAGAAAGTTAGAGTCAAGTAACTTGAGAGATAAAAACCCTAAAACCTCTCGTTTCTAACACTGTATAATAATACTACCATCTTTCCAATTCTAAATCTTCTCATACTTCCTTTAGACCATCATATTTTACTAATTCATTCTGCAATCCTCATGCTTCTCTTTTTCTATTCTCAATTCCTCCCAACTCTCGTCCCTGCAAGGATATACTTCCTTTTAAATCACGAGGTTACCGACTATCAGAGGCTACCACCTTTCTCATTCCTGCAAGGATATACTTCTTTTGAAGCACAAGAGGCTACTGACTCTCTCTCTTCTCAATTCCACCCAACTCCTGACTCTCTTCTCAGTTCATCCTCACTCTTGTCCCTACAATACCTTTCCATATTCGAAAATGATGCTAAAGTCTCTTGTGTTTCTGAATGAAGTATATCCTTGCAAGGATGAAAATCGAGAGGAATTGAGTAGAGAGAGTAAGACATGAAGATTGCATAATGAATTAAGAAAAGATGAGGGTCTCAAGAAAGTATGAGATGATTTAGAATTGGGAAATGGTAGTGTTATTATATAGGGTTAGAGAAGCGAGAGGTTTTAAGGTTTTCATCTCTCAAGTTACTTGACTCTTACTTCTCAAATTAACCTTGTAATGACCTATGAATATTCACGAAAATATGTTGAATGATCGCATAAATTGGCATGAGTGGTGAAGATATCTTGGTAAAACAAAAAAGAAAACTTGGTAGGTTTTGCAATTAGAGCAGAAGAGGTGAGGTTGGTGGGCGAGAGTAATGGGGTGTAATGACCCTCATTAAAAGTTACCACAAAATTGATGGTGTCTATGTAGCATATGTGACGAGGGTCCAAGGATTTAGTAGGGCATATCTATGGAGCACAGGCATGTATGCTCCGAAATCAAGTTATTGATCTTCCAATCAAAACTTCTCAATACGTTATTGATCTTCCAACCATAAACAAGCCCTTCACTTTCTGTAGCACATGAAAGTTGCATAGCATACAAGCCTTCAATAGACATGCCTATTCAATTCAACTTCATGTCCTCTCTCTTCCTCTCTAGCAACCTAACTCCATACTATTTTTTTAGTTTGCTTGTTCAATTGCTTTCTTGTAAGAAATCAAATGTTCGATCAACAAAGAAAGTAATGGTTTGCAAATGAAAATCATTTCATATCCGTCCATCTTCTGTCTTGTGCCTAGAGCCTACACCCAACTCAGTATATCAGCATATCGATGACTAGTGATTAGCGTAGTGTTGACTAATTACATGTTCAATGGAAATTTCTTTTAATGAAGACTGTCTATCCCTAGGGCACCTATAACCGAGTTGCAAAGTAAATCAAAGCTCTTATATCTGGGCTCAATTTTTTTATTGTTGGGAAGACAGATGGTCTTCAAAATATGTTAGTTATTTGATCATATTTTCCCCATAATTTTTTAGTTTTCATGTTGATATTATAATATTTATATCTCATAAAAGTGTCTAGGTTGAACACGAACCTATTACGCATTAGAAATGTTAATTTACTGAAGTTAATTGTCGTTTGTCGAGAGCCTAGCCTAGGGTTAAACCAACTAGTTTCACACCGGGTAACAACATATTGAGTAACGACCTCAACAATTTGGAAGATATTTTGAGAATATGTATTCTAATTTATTCGAAGTATCTTTGTGGTGTAACACCGTCAACTTAATGTAAGGTATCTTTATTATGCTCCCGGTGAATTAGCTTTGTTTTCCAAATTTTGCGGCTATGTCCAGAGAAGGAGAAGAGGATATTGATTCCCCGTTGATTATAGGAAATTAAACAGAGAGTAAATAGTAAATTTTTTTTCTCCAAAATAAATAATTAAATGCATGAACATAACCGAAATTATGGAATCACATGTTATAATTTGAATTGAATAAAAAACTATTATTAGCATTCCAAAAATCTTATTGAGTGATAATGGTACGTTTATTGTTGATTATCATATATTCGTTTTGTATTGATTGATACGTTTATTTTTAATTTATGGGTGTACATATCGTTGACTGGTACGCTTAGTTTTAACTTTTGGTACGTTTTGTTTTAGCTTTCGATATGTTTAGATTTAGCTTCCGGTACGTTTAGTTTTGTTCTCGTTGATCGATAGATTTTTTTCACGATTTTATTACGATTGTTTTTGTATACATTGTGGATTGTACCATTTAGTATCATATGGGTACGATTAATATTATACATATCATTGATTGGTACATTTACTTTTGTTCTTCAATGTTGTTTACTAGTACGTTTATTTCCAGTTTTAGTAGGTTTGTTTTCATACATATATTTTTTATTGGTACGTTTGTATTATTCTCGATGTTATTTTCTTATATGAATTACTACAAAAATTTATATATGGATTACTACAAATATCTTAAATGGTGTTTTATTCCTTCATTGAAAGGAAAAAAAAAATCAAACGGCAGGGTATGTTATTCCTGAATAAATTGTATATATATAATCTTCTCTTTTTTTTTTTGCATAATAATCTTTAGAGGGAATCAAGGGAGCTAGATTGTAGGAATTTGTTTCAATAAAGGATATTTATGATACACGAGACTCCAAATTTGTAGGAAAATTGTTTAATTAAATCTCTAAAACCAACAAATGTTTTGTCTATAGAGTTGAAAACTCAACCGCTTATATCAAAACGCCCCTTAAATAAATAACTATACTCGTTTGTGTTTTGAATACAACAGAATTGTTGTTGATCGTGCTAGCTCTTTCTTACTAGTTCTTTTTATTTCTTTGTCATTAGTTTTTTCCTCCTCTTATGATATTTCTGCTATTTAAAAGAAGAAAAGTATACTTTCCATAAACGTAGGAAGAGCAATCCCTATGTACTGAAAAGAGGGAAAATGGTTTTGAAGAATCCCATAGAAGCATGATGGAAAATGAAGTCACAGGTCCTTTATGATGCATGTCACTTTCATTCGAATTCAAATCTCTCTTTTCATAAGTTAAATGAATTTAGAGCATCCAAATATGTTATATCAACTTGCATAGCCAATCTTACGAACCTTGTACAACACAGAGAAAAAATATACATGTACAATTGTGAAAGTCAAACTTGTGATGCGTCCGAGCTACATGGACAAAAAACAATTAACATTTTGTATAAAATGTATAGACGTGACAGGATTTAAATATATAGTTTGTTTACGTGCTTGCATGACTACATGGACAAAAACAGTAACATTATCCATCAAGGTTGCACTAGGCGCTGGTTGCTAATGAAGAATGTCTCCAAATGGACATGAATATTGTACACCAATCTATTTAATAAATAAAACTGAATTCATTTCCTGGTTCATAATCCTCAAAACAACAAATAATGACTTCATCTCTCAATTATTTACACAAAATTGCAATTGTATATGAATATATATACACACACACATACATATATACGAATCCTTTAACAAGAGGGATCCTCATTTTTCAAAAAAACCATGCATCACAATTCGACCGTTTTGTTTCATGTAGCTCAGGAGCATCACAATTCGACTTTCATGATTGTACATGTACACTTTCTATTTGTATTGCACGAGGATCATAAGATCAACCATGCAAATTGATATAATATCTAGATGTGCTAAATTTATCTAACTTATAGAAGAGAGATTTAGACCCGAAAGCAAATTATCATTTGTATCTTTTAATTGTGAAATTATATTTTGAAAAAATTGAAAAACCAAATGAAGAAGGAATCAAAGGGCTGGGACTGGGACTTTTTGTGGTGGTGGTGGTTGGGAGGAGAAAGGTAGGGGGTTGTTTTCTTGGTAGTTTGGGTTTTGGGATCCCAACCCTTTTTGGGGGTTTTGGGCGGGGATTTTTTGAGGTGTTTAACAATTTCAGAGCTGTCAGGAATGAGGATCGCGATGGGAGGCCGTGCTGATGAGCTGCGTTGGACCGGGTAACCGATTACATTGTCACATTAAGGGTATTTTGGAGATAAAGTGAGTGGGAAAAGAGTAGAGTTTATTTTAACTTTTTATGGTAGGTAGGTGGTATAATAAAAAAATAGGATAAACCATTAAAATATATAGTTTGTCAACGTGCTTGCATGACTACATGGCAAAATCAGCAACATTATCCATCAAGGTTGCACTAAGTGTTAGTCGGATGGAGGCTAGGACCTATTGCTTAAGCGGATTATGTATAAATTAGTACCTGCTTATTTTATAAACTCAAATACTATATGAATTATAATTTACCACATAAAAAACCGATTCATTTGCATAAATAGATATCTTAAGTACGACACATGCCAATTTTTATGGGCCCGAATGTCTGTCCACGGTTTGTAGCTTTGGATATGTGGCAGGAATGGCACACTAAAGATTCCCAGAGTCTCTAAACGAATTTGTACCCATTTGAACAAACAAAAATGGAAAATAGAAAAAACAAAAGACATGTAGCCAACGGTGATATGGTGAAAAAAAAGAAAAAGAAAAAATGAATTTGTACCAATTGTACGTCTCCACCCATCACCCTTTAGCCACCTTCTCTTCACTCCTCAATTGGAAATCTGGATTTCAATTCAACCTTGTTCAAGTATATTTGGTATTATGGTTTTTTTTATTGGTACATCAAAAATAATTAGTACGAATACTTATTATATTAGAATTTAGTGGTATACTTTATTACTGTTACATTCTTTTGATAAAACAAATGTGTCACTTTACATACATTTTTCCTTAAAGCATTGTTAAACTCAATCTCGTATTACTATTTTGACTGTTCTCTTATTACGATTTTGTTCATCATAACTCACATTCTAACTTGGAGAGGTTTCTTTAAAATATAACGAGAGCAATGTTCTTACATTACTCTTGCTACCTTGACCACACCATATTTCATAAAAAAATAAATAACATAGAACCTAGAGCAATCACTTGAGTTACAAACCCGTATGTTGCATCGTATTCTAACCTTTTATTTTCTCAAATACCGAAGTGTGCGAAATCCACGTTGAGGCCCATCAACTTTTTACAAGATCCAGCCCAAGTCAAGAGGCTTAGTGGACCGAGTCATATAGCTGACTAAACTTTTAGTTACCCACTGAGTTGAGAGTGCTGATGTGTCCACTTTTAGGCATGGGACTTTGAAGTCATTTACGGAACTGCCACGTCACAAAACGTGACCATTGCACAGAAATTTTTCACTGTAACAAAAGCATGGTTTAGTATACTAAATGTCATATATAAATTTAAAAAAAAAAAAAAGAAAAACTTTTTCAAGTGGAATCATGATACAAAGGTAATATATGTAGGATGTGATGGCTGGAATAAGTAAAATGGATGGAACAATGAATACGCATTGAAATATACGGAGGCAAACCGTCACAAGAATATATCAAACACCACAAGAAAACGGGGCTAATTGGATAATGTTTACTGTGAAGCCCAAAAATTGTCACTAGATCATTAGAATTAACGGGCCTTTGCAACTTGTTATTATTCATACCCAAACCTTCATGACAACTAATTGAGAGAAGGAAAAACAGAGGGAATTTGTTTTTTTTTTTCTAACATCAATTTCCGACTACAAACATAATTTTTTAAGTATCAATTTTTATTATAAAAACTAATACCTCCTCGACTTTATTCTCAGTGCATTCGTATTTTGAATGTACAACATAATTTTTGCAACAGTTACAAAATATGCTTATAATCCAACACGACCGATAGGGTTTCTCTCGATAAGACCAAGCTTGCCTTACAAAAATAAGAAAACAGGGTACACCTAGCTTAGATGAAATGAAAATTGTAAGAAAAAGATTCAGAGAAGGAAGAAAAACAAAGGGAAATTTTTTTCAATCAATTTTCGACTACAAACATGAAACAATATCATTTCACTTTATTGAGCATAAAACCATCACAGCATCAAAATGCCAGCCGTTGTCTTACCCCGACGTGAGAAGAATTCTTTAAGTTCTCCCAACAAGTCACCAAGACCAAGCCCTCGATCACATACCAAACCTGAACCCAGAAGCCGGAATTCAGAACACACCATCCAAATTCTGGTGGAACATCAGCGAGTTTCTAGACCAGAAATATATAAATAAACTGAATACTACGTGCCTTCTATCTGGTGGAACTCTGCAAGAGGAGTTCGATCTAGTGCTTCATTTCTGATCGTACGATCCAAAAAGTAGTATTTTGGGGAGCAAATGGTAGTTTCTTTGAACAATGCAAAAGAAACAAAAACGACTACAAATTAGGGTTTAAAAAACGCTTGAAGTGCTTTATGCAAGAAGCACAAATTATGTGCTTTTTTCAAGTGCTTTTCCGTAATTTACTTGCATTTTTACTAATGATTGTTTCTAAAAATATTTTCACCAAAAACGCTTTCAGTTATTTTAAAAGCACATTCAAACGGGCTCTATGAAAGTTTCATCATTACTGGAATGGGTCTAGTTTTTATAGTTTACTTATTTTCAACACAACTTAATCTTGTGTAAGTTTTTTTGCAATCAACTCTGCCTACATTCACCCTTAATTTTTGCTTAAATTGCATGTTCAGCCACAAAATATATGTATATATATATATTGGTGCTCGCTGAGTATTTAGGACCACTTGCTTATATTGGTGCTCACTGAGTCCACTAAAGTATGCAACCATTTCTCTAGTAACTTGTCACTCTAAAACCAAGTGTAGAACCATGGAAAACAAAATGCAGATTAGGCTGCATTCCCACTCCATGATTACATGCACACTTAGTTCAAAAGTACAGTGTTACCAACAAAGTCATAATGTCTAGTCGCTGGTACTCGAAACACCAATGCCACAAAACAAAGTGATTTGGATATCAGTGCAAAATGAACTGTCAAAACAACTTTAAATTATTAAGAGCAAATACATAAATCAATTATATAAGTTCAAATAGCTAAGAAAATAAATATTAACTTTTAACTTAATTTTGTTGATCGAGTGCTTACTCCCACTTATTAATTGAAGCAGCTTAAAAGCCTCTTTCCGTCCCCAATATTAGCAACAATGGTGGACAGTAAGTCGCCATTTTTTATTCCAGACTGTACTAACGACAAATATTCCAGTAGGCCGCTATTTTTAATATATTAGACTGAGTTTGAAGAATTCTCAAAACCCCTTCCAATAAATATCTTACTTCTTCTCTTAGACCTACTCCAACTCTTGGAGTAAAACTTAAATTTTAAGTTCTAAACTTATCACAACTTGCCCTGACTC